CAACTACATACCTGAGTTTCAGCTACCATGTTGTCATCAGGCTTCAGATGAACAGTGAAAGCTTCACGCATCTCCCGTTTGCCATCATACAATATTTCTACTTCAACAAAGTGTTCTGTATCCCCTTCTTTGAATTCAATATCTGTTGAAAAAGGATAAAAGCTAAATGTTGCATGAGGCTAACTGGAGAAGACAGAGAAGACAGACAGCTATACAAAGGAAAAGAAGAAAATACAGAGTTGTTGTTCTTAGCAACCAGTAAGATTTATTATTTTCATTTTCTGACCTGAGCAGTGCAAATTACAGCTTCATTCTGAATGGTTGCTATGAGTCACACCTCCACTTTTATGTCATCTGTCTGAAGTGACTATTGGAAACAGAAAGATCTCATACCTTCAGAGAGTGGATTGTAGTCTTCACCAGAGGTAGCTGAGCCATCCTTTGTGTGGATTCTTACAATGGACACTTTAGAACTGTCAACCCATGCGCAGGACAGGTATCTTCACTACACTGGTTTAACGGGTAAGAAAAATGGGTTTCCAGATCACTAGACTACGGTCAGAAAGGAGTAAGGGGAGACTGGTCCTGTAAGTTGTACAGTCAAAACTTTTTTTTTGTTTCAGATAAAAGTAGGTAAGGGTTTAAAACTCCTATCAAGTTATTTTTTCTGCTGTCTGCATCCCACTAGGGAATTTTACTTTAACTGCACCCTTGACAATTCAACAGGAACTGGGAGGAAATCTATATAAAGTGAATGGATTTCCCATCTTCTGTCGCCAGAACAGGTGTTTCCATGTGAAGATTTTTTCTTTTCTCTTGCTCTGATGACAACTCCACATTTTTGGATTTCCCTCCAACTTTTGTCTTGGTAACAATGGTCACTGGGGCAAAAAGAGGGGGTGGATCTACTAAGCAAGGACACAGACAACAACTTCACACTTTATCCCTTGTCCACTCAATCCAAAATTTAAAAAAAATGACAACATAAATTTTTTATCTCATATTTGTATATTTTTTGCAGGGCCTCTTCTGTAACTGATAAATAGGGAGTCATTAGTGTTAAGTAACTGTATAGTTTAATGAAATATATAATTTATTAAAAAAAAAAAAACTTATATATATATATTATATATATATATATATATATATATATATATATATATATATAGCAGTGTGTTGAAAAAAGTGAATAAAGCTCAAAATCCTTCTAATAGCTTTTTTATTTCCATACACACAAATGCATTGGCAACACTACACATTCTATTCCAAATCAAAACATGAAGAAAAATAGATCAAATTTGTGTTGTTCCTCTAAACAAATTGAACAAAAGTGAATATTAGACTGTTCAAAAAAATAGCAGTGTTTGTATTCTTCTTACAAACTCAAATTTTACTATATAAACTGAAAAATGTTTGAAGATTTTGCTTTCCTTTGAATCACTTAATGAATATTTAGTTGTATAAGCACTCTGTTTCTGAGAACTGCTGTACATCTGTGTTGCATGGAGTCAACCAACTTCTGGCACCTGTGAACAGGTATTCCAGCCCAGGATGATTGGACTACATTCCACAGTTCTTCTCTATTTCTTGGTTTTGCCTCAGAAACTGCATTTTTGATGTCACCCCCCACAAGTTTTCTATTGGATTAAGATCCGGGGATTGGGCTGACCACTCCATAACGTCAATCTTGTTGGTCTGGAACCAAGATGTTGCACATTTACTGGTGTGTTTGGGGTCGTTGTCTTGTTGGAACACCCATTTCAAGGGCATTTTCCTCTTCAGCATAAGGCAGCATGACCTCTTCAAATATTCTGATGTTTTCAAACTGATCCATGATCCCTGGCATGCGATAAATAGGCCCAAAACCGTAGTATGAGAAACATCCCCATATCATGATGCTTGCGCAACCATGCTTCACTGTCTTCACAGTGTACTGTGGCTTGAATTTAGTGTTTGGGGTCATCTGACAAACTGTCTCCGGCCACTAGACCCAAAAAGAACAATCTTACTTTCATCAGTCCACAAAAATGTTGCGCCATTTCTCTTTAGGCCAGTCAATGTGCTCTTTGGCAAATTGTAACCTCTTCAGCACATGTCTTTTTTTCAACAGTGGGACTTTGCGGGGGCTTCTTGCAGATAGCTTGGCTTCACATAGGCGTCTTCTAATTGTAACAGTACTCACAGGTAACTTTAGACCTTCTTTGATCTTCCTGGAGCTGATTGTTTGCTGAGTCCTTGCCATTTTGGCTATTTTTCTATCCATTCGAATGTTAGTTTTTTCGCTTTCTTCCACGTCTTTCAGGTTTTGGTTGCCATTTTAAAGCATTTGCGATCATTTTAGCTGAGCAGCCTATCATTTTCTGCACTTCTTTATATGTGTTCCCCTCTCCAATCCAATCAAGGTACGCTTGTTCTTCTGAACAATGTCTGGAACGACCCATTTTCCTCAGAATTTCAGAGAGAAATGCACTGTAACCAGCATGTACAACATTTGCTGCCTTCCTTCCTTAAATAAGGGTAATAATTGCCACCTGTTTTTCAAAGAATGAATGACCTCACTAATAGAACTCCACACTGCTATTATTTTGAACATGCCCCTTACAATTAGTGATTCAATTACACAGAATCAGCAGCATGCATGTCATGACTGTTGGGTCTGTTGGATTTCTATTATTCTACTACACCTGCTAGTAAATTATTTGCCATGTAGAAACATCATTTCTACCAAAAACAGTGATTGATCAGGTTCGTGATGTCTGACTGCTATTATTTTGAACACAAACTGTATATATATATATATTTATAATAAAATATTTCAGATCCTACCCACATTCATGATCAAGGATGCTTATTCCATATGCACTTCCTTCTAATATGTTACAAACCTATATCTACAGTTCATATTTTGACCTGCATAGCTAGTCATTGCCATTATCATCAAATTTACAAGTTTGTTTTCTTTGCTGATATTGTACATGAATGGGAGATAATTTAGCCATTTTGTAGAATGATAACAATTTAGCAACTCACTGTCCTCCAGATCCTTTATTTTCATTACGGCCTCCTTCTGTTCTCCAATTGAAGCTCCAAAGGGTGACTCACTCTTCGGTGTCCCAAGAAGCAGTCTGAATTCTTCTTCCTCTTCATAAATACTATCATCCTCAAGAGTCACCACACATGGCTTTTCACTCTCACCTGTAATAACAAAACCATCTCATGTCTTGCCAGGGAAGAACATGTGATACTGCCAAATCTATTTTAACACTTTAAAGGTTCCTTAGGTACATCATATGGTATATTTTTTCAAAGTTATGTATACATTTCTAAACCAACCAAATTGTATAATCCGTTTTCACTAATATGGAAGAAAAATATATTTGAAATATATTTGAAAAATATTCTTCCCAAATATATTGACATATATTTGAAATGCTACAATTTTGGCCATATTCAATACATTTCAAATATACTGTATGTCTTTAAAAATACAAATCTACATTTTTGTAATGCATTTACAAATATATGTAAAATATATGTTAAAAAAATCTGAGAATATATTTAAAAAAATATATTTAAAAAAATATTTTTCATATATCTTGTAATATATAAAAAATGTATTTCAATGTGCAGTATATATATATATATATATATATTGAAATAAATTTTGAAATATATTGAATATGGCTAAAACTGTAGCATTTCGAATATATGTCAATATATTTCGGAAAAATATTTTGTAAAAATATATTTCAAATATATTTTTCTTCCCTGTGGGCAGAATCATAAACAGAATATTCAACAGCAATGTGGATTCATATCGTAGGTACCCAAAACTAAAGCCCAAGTGCCTTAAAGAGGCACAATAATAATAATTATATATGTATAATAATAATATAATTCTTAACAAATATTTAGAAGTATACGTGATGCACCCAAAATATTACCTGGCAAGAACACAACTGCAGAGTCATCAGTGTTTGGCCTTTCTTCATAATCCAATGTAACCTGTGCAGAGCCCTGGCGAGTGTAGCATCGCACTGTAGATTTATGACTGACATCACCACTGCGGTATATCACTGCTGCCACTTGCTTGTCCTTCTCATTCACAGTGTAAACAGGCTCCTTGAACTGAACCTTGGGTACTGGAAACAACACATTATATATGTTCAGTAGATGGCCTATTTAAAGTTAAGATTATATATACAGTATAGCAAAAGCTTTTTCTGTTTGTTAAGTAAATGTGTTTTGTTATGATAGAGGATGGACTCATTTTACAATTACTGGTGGAAGCCCCAGAGTTCCAGTGAAAATTGTATAATGTATGGCCAGCCTAAGTTAATTACAATAATTGTGTTCTGATTTTTTTTTACCCAATACATCATACATAGGTTTAACAATTTGTGCTACAAATTGCTTATTATAGCTGAAAAAAATGCATCCTATGAATTTCAAACCTTAAACATCTTTTTTTCCAATATACACAGAGTATTTTTGCTACACCTACATATAGATTATCCCATTTTATGTCACCTATTTGACCCAAGCACTTGTTCAACAGACAATCAGACACAAGCAGGGCTCATGAATGCAAAGCATCTACAATTCTCTGGCTGCATATGTGATCTATTGCAGTAGAAACTATGAGGGTGTAGGAGCATTTTAGGTGCAGTGGACCAGCAATGGACTTGCAGCACAGGTCTCTGTAGTTTTATGTAGTTAAAACCACTCTGATTTTTGTTGATAGGCCATTGGGCAGAGCATGTTTCAGAAATGCCTTTGTTTAAGTATACTGTACATAATTTTTCTCAACATTCTCCAGATGACTCGTCTTCAAATAACTCACAGTCAGAGATGGTGTCATTAATGGTGATGGTTGTTTTGCTTGGTTCCCCCAAAACAGCATTTACAGGCATCCGAAGAACCAGTTCAAACTTTTCTAAACCCTCTAAAGCTGGTTGGCCCAAGTCATCAAGTATGGTCACTCGAAAGCTTTGCATGTTCACCCCAGGAGCAAAGTCCAAGTTTCTACTTATTCCAACATAGTCTGTACCAGCTAAATGAAACAAAAAACACAGCATGAAATAATTTAGAAAGATAAAAATGTTCACCAAAACAAGTTTTATGTTTCTATAAATGCTAAAACAATATGCAAACATCACTCATTAACAGTTCATTTCACACAAAGTATTACTGTAGTACCAGCTATATTTCTACTCACCATCTGCAGACAGTGGCTCTGTTTTTCTGGAGCGTACTGTGACAGTGGCTGCTTTGGAGAGATCTGTTCCTGTTCTCCAGACTCGAACGTCCACATAACCAGCACTTTCATCCACATGGTAATCAGTGTCAGCAAAGTAGAAGGCAGGCTCTATGGACAAGGGAAAGCATATTATATTACTTTTATTGTTGTTATCCTACGCAGGGAAAGTAATACTTATATGAATACTATAAGTTTGATGGTAACATAAACCTGTGGTGTACAGGGGCGGACTGACCATTTGGGAACTGGGGCACTGCCTGAGGGCCCTGGGTCAGTAGGGGGCCCATGAGATGCCCCTGGTACCTTTTTCATAGGCTTTTTTGGGTGTGGGTGAGGACACAGGGGCCCCATGATCCCCTATTGCCCGGGGGCCCCATGAGTTGTCAGTCCGCCCCTGGTGGTGTATATTTCTCATTTCTGACTAATGATGTGGCTGATATACAGAATAAGTTGTACTTGAACAAAATTAGATTTGGGCTATTTTTCAAGAAAGGACTGGAAAATCAGACACAGTTATATGCTTCAGGTGGGTCATTATAGTTATCAATTATCATTATCTCAAAGATTTACAACTACCCAACAGAGAACAAGCTAGTAAGCAGATAGCCACCATACAGTGATGGTGGTGGTGGTAGGGGGTTGGGGAAGTGTTCCATGATATTAAGACAATGGCTGGAGTTTTAACACCCCAACCTCCATGGATGTAAACATTTTGGATTACAAGGGAGATCCCTAATCCCCAGAGTTTGTAAGAATTATTTTATATCACAGCTGAGCTTCCTGATGTCCAAAATTGCAACACCTGCCTCTTCTAATTTGCTGCTGAGGGCAACAACATATTGTTTCCCTCCATTTATTTTTTTTGTTACAGCCTTGGCATACTTGTGCTGAAAAGTTCCATTCTAAAGACACTGGACAATGAGACCATTGAGTGTTTAAGAAAACATTTTGCATTAGATCGACGATTGAAGATCATTGAAGATGATTGAAGTATTATGAGCTAGGAGTTAAATACTGTGCTTTGTTATACTGCAAGATATATGACAATATAATAAAAAATATTAGTATTTTATGTAGACACATTTAGTGTCAATCACTGCTACTGATGTGTTAATAAGTTCCAACGGCAAGGAAACAGTTAAAGAGAGCAGCTTAAATCTCCCCACTTTGTATTCTTTTGCTGCAATCCAAGCCAAATGTTTTAACAGATAATTAGTAAAAGCCTTGCACTTCAAGTCTGGGAAAAAGTGGTAATGAGGAGCAGATCAGGGGGGGTCACTTTTTTGTTTTTAAGAAATCATTATACATCACAAGACCAAGTTAAAAATGCTAATTGGCCAACTGTGTAGTACTTTATCACAAACAATGGATAAAAAGCGATTAACCAAGAAGTGATTATAAAACACATATAGTGGTAACTACTGAAAATGACTAAAAATGGGTAAATTTTAAACATTCTGCCATTCTAATTAATGTCCATCACTTCATGGACATGGATCATTTCATGTAGAGTTATCAAAATTGGCAAAATGTTAATGGGTGAGGCTAGAGCAGAGTTTGCAGTCATTCTCCAAATTTAGCAAGTGCACTGATATCTTAGTGAATCCGTGGCCAAGCTATAGACTTTCAAATACCAGAAGAACCAAAGTCATTCAAGTAATTCCCTAAGTAGCTTATCTCATCTCATACTTAGATCAGCGTTTCCTTCTCCCCCCTCCTGGAACTCCTGCAAGGTGTTTACATTAAAAATTATTACACTGAAAGAATACTGAGTCACTGCTGAAAGGAGGTGAGCTAAGCTGCTGATATTAAAGTGAGAATGTTTCTGATGGAAATTTGGAAGATGAATTATTCCACAGTGCCTGCAGTTACAGAGGTCAGAGATACTTGTTTTAAAGTGGATTTACTGTTTGTTAAGTCTATGTAAATATTTGAATGCCCATAACCTGGTCAAAGCTCGACTTTAAAGTTTTCAAATCCTGCATAAGTTAAAATAAAATATTCTCCCATGCCCTGCATTGCTTCCATTGTTAGAGAAAAGAATTCATTTAAAATAAGCAGCATGTTATTGTGTATATATATATATATATATATATATATATATATATATATATATAATACATACATATATGGCCTGGCTGTCCACTGTGGGAAAAAAATCTGTGCATAGCTTTCTTTTATCTTATTGTCTGTGTTACCTTTTAAAGCTGAACTCTCAGCACATATACAGTAGAGATATAAAAAGATCAAAGTGTGCCCAAGCTGTATGGCTTACATGCAGTGGAGAAAACTAAAGTCAGCGCCCTTGCAGTATGGCAAAGGGTGTCTGGTGGACAAGACTGGCTGAACAAAATAACAAACTTTCTGAAACAATTAACATGTATAAAATGTATGTATTTCAGCCATGTGTCTGGATGGAGTTTAGCTCAAAGGGCAATCTATGAAGGGGGGAGGGGGTATTTTTTTTTTTTATTACATTTAGAAACTAAAAATATTTTTTGTCAGATAAATATGACATATTACATATGTCTATGATTTATTTTTATAGCCTTTAGAAGGACCTTTAGTTTTTTTTACATTTCCCATTTCACTTTACCTCTTGATATAAAGGTCTGTTGTTAGAGAGCTCAATAGCTCAAGCTGAATGATTAATTAATGAAGCTAATAAGTCAAAGCAGTGACCCACCTAACTCTGTCCCCTTTCTTCAAAATGGCTTTATCTCAGGTATCAACCACAGACAGGTGTCCAAAAAAGGATAACATCTATTGTGCTCTCTTTTTGGAAACCCCACAGTGCTTTGGGAATTATTTATCATGTATTAATTGTTTATGTGTAAAACAAACAGTGTAAACATGTAGTAGAAAAAAAGAAAACATACACTTTAAACTTTTAAATAAAATTGATCACAATACCATTATTATTTTCTGTTAATACCATAACAAAAGAAACATGCACAATAAAAGTATAATGTTGTAGCCCACCCAGAAGTTTAGTGATTAAATCCTTATCTTCTATTAGCTCTCAGACATTTCACACAAAAGGAAGGAAAATGCATTTTTCCAATTACTGGTTGTGTATCCTTCTTTCCTTTTATTCATTTTGCCAGTAAACACATCTCTCAGCATAATGTTCTTTTAGCCATTGCCTTGCTCTTAACACTGTAATTTGTGCTTATCCAAACAACTACCAAGGATAAAAGGTTTCTCTGGTTGTGGAAGGATCAGTTTGTAAGGACAACAAACTAGATACTTCTCAAATAATCTCATTTGTATATATATGATGTTCCAACCAGTCACCCAACAGAGGAGAAAGACGTTTTGCTATACATGCACTTTGATGTATCTTTGTGTATTAAACCTGTTTATTGACTGATGCCTAAAACAGGTCCTATCCCTCTTGTCTTCCCTCTCATTCTTCTCTTATGCCACTCTTTGATAAAATTTATGAGCAAAAAGGAGAAAAGTTTTAGCTATACATACAACTCTTATTATAATCTTTGCAGTGCCATACTTTGGCCCAGTAGCCTTCATCTTCCATCCATCTATATCAAGCTATGCTGTTGCAAAACATAAACTGCCTAATGTAATATATATACATATAGTAAACAGGGTTGATTTGCTACAACTGAAGAGTGAAATATCTGATGCAGCTGTGCATGGTAGCCAATCACCTTGTAACTTCAGCTTGTTTTGCCGAAAAATAAATCCTGGAAGCTGATAGGTTTTCTATGCAGAGCTGCACCAAATTTTGCACTCTCTAGTTTTAGTAAATCAACCCCATTGTGAAGATATCATGGCATCAACACTCCAGACATATAGTATATTTTTTTAGGAGATCATTGCTCTTCAAAATATAACTAATTTTATCACTATAGAAACATAGAGACGTGACTGCAGAAGAAAGACTGAGTGGTGGCCAGTTTATAGCATCACTACTAGGCAAAGAATAATATTGTATAATTATCATATAAAAATTGCTAATTAAATATCTATCAAGAAAGGGTTAGTAGCTTGATATATATAATGGTTGATGTCCGAAAGCTTGTAAAAAATTACTATAAAAAAAAATTTGCACATATACAACTTATGAGCCCATCTGTGTATAATGTCAATTTTTAGTTCTCTAACCAACTGTTGAATTCAGTTGACTATTCTGCTTTTTAATCTGCCTCAGACATATCCACCATCTACACACATTCTCATTTTACTTTGTTGTTTCTGAAAAAGAGTCATTTACACTAATCCTCAAAGGAGTCTATGAAAGTGGCCTAAGAAAGCTTACCTTTGTTGTGTGTCTACAGGGGATGCAAACCTTTTCTTTTTACCTTGCCCTTCAAGTAAGTCTTTGTACGTTGATTGAGTGTGTGTGGCATAGAGCATGAGCAGGAAATTTACGATTAGCCCCACAATTCATGAGATCATGTTCCCAAGCCCAGGTGCTTCTTGCTCTCTCTTAAAGGATATGAAAAGGCCTGAACCTTAGATACCCCAAATAAAATATACAATAGTTGAACAATGACACTAGTCAACTACCCCTCTACCATAAAATAGGCATTTGCAAGAAGACTATTCATGTAGAACATGCATAGCAGCTTGGTTCTTTTTTTGTGGGATGTTTTTATATGTAGACTACAGGAAATATGTAGATTACATGTATACCAGTTTATTAAATTTTGTTTCTAACATTTTCATTTTGAACCACAGAGAAAAGTTTCCAGCTAAAAAATAATCAAAACCCCAGGTTTCATTATTTATATAGATATATAGAGAGAGAGAGAGAGAGAGAGAGAGAGTTTTTTATCTATCTATCTATCTATCTATCTATCTATCTATCTATCTATATTTGTCTGTAGAGTTATCTTTAGTTTCCTTATGAGCTGTTTGACGTGTGTGTGTTTTTGGGTGGACTGACAAAAAAACATGAAAATGTGTAACACAGAGTAGTATAACAATGCTGCAACCTATCAGCCCCGAATGTAAGATAACAGTGAAATGGCCTCAGCCTAAACTCGCCTCTAGGCCATGTCCCCTGACCTCGGTGACTAAGCCCTGGGGGCGAAATGTGACACAGGGCATGGCCTAGAGAGAAGTTGATGCTGAGGCTGTTTCACTGTTATTTTACATTCAAATGATAGGAGTGCGGTGCCTTCATACTACTCTATGTCACTGCAGTCCTGGATGTGTACTTCGGATGTCAGCACCCATTATAGTGTGGATCACCGGAGCAGTATTGCTGGTGCTTGGAGTGGCACTCCAAGTCTGTCTACATGAAAATGTGCAACTTTAAAGCGGTATTATGTACATTTATGTAAAAGCTTTATCCCAAAAAGAAAAAAATGTTTGTAACTGCTGTTTGTAACACTAATAAAGTAAAAAGTGTAAAAAGTGTTTGTAACACTAATAAAGTGTTAGCTGGTGTTCAGCTTTAATGTGTTCAAATCAAGTCCATCTAAATCTTCTAGTCTAACACTACCCTTCCCTCAGAGTGACATTGCTGCTGTCTAAAGGTGTCTCCTTGGCTTCTCTTTTCAAAGTGGGGACACCTTAAGACAAGACTTGTGTTACTGGATCACCAGATGAAAATAAAGGGAAAACCCTTAAAAAAAGAAAAAGAATGCAGCCAACGTGTTTCAGGATTGGTAACCTGCTATATATTAATTTGTTGTTTTTGGGTTTAATACCACTTTAACCCCTTCACGCCTAAGGGTAAAACAAATCTTAATTCCAAAGCACAATTTTGCAATGTTGACGTGTGTTAGTAAAACCGTACATATCATCACAACTACTTTTTAAATCCAGGTGAATTATACCATGTTTTTTTTCAGGACAAATTGGGGTTTCATTTGGTGGTAAATGGTAATGGATATCTCCTGATTTTTTTTTTATTATCAAAGGAAAACTGGCCCAAAATAGTAAAAACAAAATCATTTTTTTAAAATGTAGCTGTGTGTTTCTTGTTACTACCATTAACTACCACCAAAGACCAACCCAAAATAAATTTTCCAGCTCTTGACGATCATAGTGATACCATATATGTAAATGTTATTTGTTGTTTGTACCCGTAGTACAGCCCAAAAACAATAGTACTCATTTTTTTTTTGTTTACCTAAAACACATTGACACTGACACTGACTGACACTAGTACCAATTAAAAAAAAAAAAAATCCTGACCCTTTGACCTTTTGACATTGACCTTTGACCCTAACCTTCACCCAAACACTTACCCTGGCACTGAACTAGATCAAACCTTGATATAGGTATTTTTTTTTTTTTTCAATATTTATTTATTTATCTTTTTTTTAACAAATATTTTTTTTCCCCTCTATTCCAGTAGTTAGAGAGATACAATGTATCTCTCTCCTCCATTCACAGAGAGAAAAAAAAAACTTGGGGGCCAGGCTGTACAGTGACTGATCACTGTGATAGCCAATCAGAGGCTATCACAGCGATCATGTGACCTGGAATTGAGAGTCCCGAGTTCCGATTGTTAGAATGGGACCCGGGGCTCTCAGTGACACCCCAAAAAGCCCAGTTCTGTGAGGCCGCATATTTGTGTGATGTTGGCGTTAAGGGGTTAATAAACAGAGTACACATAACTAGGTATTTACTAAAGATTAGCATGTCTATCCACAAGTACAGTAGTATGCACTAACTATTGACAATTCATCTAGTAACTGTAGTTTTAGATTTTGGGTACAGTAATCCTATCATCGAATCCTATCATCAAAACACTACTACTGCAGTTTCAAACAAGTCAATACAATGTACCGCTAATTCAGAACTTAGCTGGGAAAATGTAAGCAACACACACACACACACACATATATATATATATACACTTTTTTTCTGTTAAACTCGAGGGTTTGCAGGCCAATATGTTTACTTTGATGAATAATGGTAATAAGCCTGAGCCTTGATGGATGCCAATGAGAGTTCCACTGCCGAAAGAAATAATGAAATGTCTAATTACACACAGCCTCTGGGATGCACATCAGAGAGCAGCAGTAATTCTGTGATCTAATTTCTCATAAGAAATAACATTAAGACTGGCTATGGAAAGCTGACTCTGTTTGGAAAAGTTCCTGATCTGCTAAGTGGATTTCTCATTTCACCAAAGTAACACAAAATCAGGCTCAAGGGGAAAAAAGCTCTTTCATTCTACTAAATCTTCTTGTATTCCTATTTCCTGTTCTTGTTGAGAAGTTATTCACATGAAGAAGTCTTAAGGAGGTCTAATAAGATGCCAGTCACCTCTTCTGCATATTTACTGGTGACATGCCTTCAGATAGAAGAGAACTATGCATAAAGCAGCTAATTATAGTGTCCAACACTGTGTGGTATACAAGGGGTACTGTCACCTTACCCATGCAGGGCACCAAGGCACCCTTTCCTGACCTCTTATATTGAACTTACTAGAGCTCCCCTGCTGGTCCTCCCTGTATTGCAGCCACCATCACTATCTGGCACTACCCAGTATGGGTGAGCATGTGACCTCCTCCCATGTGATAGTGCTTGGGCCTAGCAGGTCTGAGAACTGTCTAATGACCAAGGGCATGACATAACTGCTCCCCCAGGACACCTACACTGCTGATATCAGTATTCTATTAAAGTATTTCAATACATTTTAATTCTTACCATTTTTTATTGAGTGGAGAAGGAAAATTATGTGCACATTGAAAATGTTACTATATGTCAACTGCACACCGTTCTGGGCACAACCTTGCTTCATAATACCAGCATACCTCCTTCTTTAGAATTGTATTTTAGCATAGTGCAAATCAAAATCATATGCAGAAGAAGGTTTGCTACTTATATATTCTACAAAATGGGGACATTTTCCATCACTGACATGTGGAAAGTTGTAAGTTCCTAAAAAGTAAAGGGAAATCCCACCCTTGACAGTTTTCACCAGATATCACCTCCACTTGTGTTCTGGTGAAAGCTGTAAAATTAGAGATTTCTCCTCACTTTCTGTTCTGGTGGCATTGGTAACCAAGACAAATCATGATGGTGGACGTTCTCAACATAGTAAAAAAAATAACCCGAAAGAGGTTACAACCATTTCATATTCTATCCAATGTTAGATAAGATGTTTTGGCTGGCATTCTACTTTAAAGTATTTGTTTTTGCAGCCAAATTGGGATAACACCTACTTTATATCTGTTTGATCTTTCACACAGCATACCTTAACCACTTTACAACCGCGCTATAGCCGAATGGTGGCTACAGCACGGTTGTCCAGTTATGGGAGGGTGGCATATGACGTCCTCCCAGAATGCTTCCCCCAGGTGCGCCCCAGCCTCCAATGACACAGCTGATCACAAAGAAAATATAGTTGCCGGTTATCGGCAGAACTTTCCTCACACTGTCACAGCGTGAGGAAAGTAATGTCGATAACCAGCAATTGTCACAGAGGACATCTGCACTGATAATCAGGACACTGATTATCAGTGAAGCCCCAAAACTGCCCAGCAGTGCCCAGCAGTGCCCAGCAATGCCATCAGTGCCAGTGCCCATCAGTGCCGCCAGTCAGCGCCATCAGTCAGTGCCTCCAGTCAGTGCCATCAGTCAGTGCCACCAGTCAATGCCCATCAGTGCCGTCTATCAGTGCCGCCTACCAGTGCCCATAAGTGCAGCATCATCAGTGCCTCCTCATCAATTGCCACCAGTGTCGCCTCATCAGTGCAGCTTATCAGTGCTGCCTCATCAGTGCCGATCAGTGGTGCCTATCAGTGTAGCCTCATCAACACACATCAGTGAAGGAGAAAATGTACCTGTTTGCAAAATTTTCTAATAGAAACAAAGAAAAACTTTTTTTTTCAAATTTTTTGCTCTTTTTTCGTATTTTTGCGGTGCAAAGCTTTATAATAGAAAATTTTTTTTTTTTTTTTAATTTTCGGTCTTTTTTTTTTTTTGTTTTGTTTAGCAAAAAATAAAACACCAGTGGTGATTAAATACCACCAAAAGAAAGCTCTATCTGTGTGAAAAAAAAGATACAAAATTTCATATGGGTACAGTGTTGCACGACTGTGCAAAAATTGAGCTTGAGCAGGAAGGGGGTATAGGTGCCCTGTAGGCAAGTGGTTAATATAATATTTAAAAAAATGCTGCTTAGCTTTTTAATTTCTTACAAATCATACCTGCCTTCTCCCTACTCTGACTGAAGAAAGGGGCTGCCCCAGGGCCCGGGGCCAGTAGGGGGGAGATGCCCCTGGCTTTACCATAATTAACCCTGTCTGTAGTCGCCCCTGTTCTGTGCTGACAGATCTTCCTCCAAAAAGTACTCCAGGCATGGGTGGTACATTGTATGGTATTCCACTTTTAAAAAGTCTCCTACTTGTAATATAACAATTGCCTATACAGTCCTATGTATAAACCTGCCCCCCCCCCCCCAAAAAAAAAAGGTAAGACTTATTTTTTACTATATCTAGGTATGTCGTGCAAATGGAAACCCATAATAAACATATAGTGGGGATTTCTTACATTTGATTGCAAATGTGGAAATATATTTTAAGGCAGCATATTTTATGAACTCAGCTTTGGGGTCATCAAGAAACAGGCTGGACAGGACCAAACTTCTCAATGCCTTTCCAAGGACCTCTTCTAGGGGTATTCTGCAGTGTGGTCAGGACATCTATGTCATGCATTCCATTATTGATCTTTCATACTTCGTCTTCTCATTTCAGTATGCCTGGTACTGCTCAAAATATTGTGTATATGAACTATAAAAATATACAGTACATTTAAATTATTTACTTACCATCATCTTTATCTGCCAGAATTACTACTTTGGTACTTGAGAATTCAGCCCCTACTTGGCCACCCATTGGCATACTTAATGTGACATTGAACACCTCATCTTCTTCATAGAGGGAATCATCAATTATGATAATGCGACAGAATTTTTCTGTGTCATCCTTGTCAAATCGGATAATGCTGGTGTGGTCATCTGGCCAAGTAATATAGTCGGAATAAGACAAAACTGATGTGGGGACAGTACCTGTAGCTGAACCTAAATGGCAGACCAGAACACTTCAATTAACATTTCTAAGATATTCTGTAGGAGAAAACAATTAGATAAAGACTAACAATATATACAGTCAATATATATTAGACTATTACAGATAGTATACAGCACATAATTAACAAAAAAGGAGTTTGTTCAATAATGAAGAAGGTCAAACTAAATATTAAATAATGCTACACTACTACTCAACAGCAACCCTCCAAAACTGATATCTAAACACAAGAAAGGTAAGTGTAGGTAGAAAATGTTTAAAACTGTCAGTTTTTTGTCTGCTGTCTGTGTCTTGCTGGACAAATCTCCCTTCACTTCCTCTTCCTCTTCCAGGCTTAGACTGTTGTCAGCCTAATGAATGTCCCTATTGGAAGATTTATCCTCACCTATTGGCACCTTATACCTAATTCAGATTACACGAGAAATGCTTCAGAGGACTCCCTGCACCTAGAGTATTGTGCAGGATTGGAAATGTAAAGGCTATATAGAGATCATATTTCTGCAGTTTAATTCATCTCTGATTAAAAGGTTGTAGTGCTTTTATCTTACACTCTAGTAGGAGGTAGAGGAAATTAACTAATTAGCACAGATTCGATGATAGAAGTGTAGGTAACTGCGGACATCACCCAGACTGCCAGGATTAGTTCTTTCCTGTCTTTTAAAAAGTTGTTTTGAAAACCCACCCCAGAAATGTTACAAGCCATACACCAGGCTTAAGAACTGATACCGCCAACAAAACGACTTGAAGCAGCACCAGGCAAGTGCTTTGAAAGAGAACGGGGGTGCAAAAAAAATCGGTTCCCTCTCTCAGGCACCTCAGTTGTATTAATGTCCACTAAGATTTCCTAAAGCAATTAAAGTGTTGCTGTGACCAAAAATAGGCCTGGGCATTTTAGACTGAACAGCCAATTACCGGGGGGGGGGGGGGGGGATTTCACTGAGCCGGTCCTCTGCACTGTAATGTAAAGAGGCACTGTGATATAAAGGGGACTGCACTGTAAAGGGGCACTGTATTGATTACTGTGCCCCTTTACAGCACAGTCCCCTTTATATCACAGTGCCCCTAGAGATCTAATCACAGTGCCCCTATACATTTAAAGAGATGGCCCTATCCAGCAAAGAGACATCCCATCCAGCAAAGAGACATCCCCATATAGCAAAGAGACATCCCCATCCAGCAGAGAAACATCCCAATCCACAAAGAGACGGGATGTCTCTTTGCTGGACAGGAATGTCTCTTGGCTGGATGGGGATGCCCCTTCTTGGACTGGGCTGTCTCTTTGCTAGATTGGGATGCCTCTTTGCTGGACCCAACTGAGCAAAGAGACAGCCCAGTTCAGCCAAGAGACATCCCCATCCAGCAAAAAGACAGTCTGTCCAGCAAAGAGACAGCTCAACCAACAAAGACACAGCCCGTCCAGCAAAGAGACAGCTTAACCAGCAAAGAGACAGCTCAACTGGCAAAGAGTCAGCCCATCCAGCAAAGAGACAGTCCATCCAGCAAAGAGACAGCCTATCCAGCAAAGAGACAGCCCCATCCAGCAAAGAGACAGCTCAACCAGCAAAGAGACAGCCCATCCAGCAAGAAGACAGCCTGTCCAGCAAGGAGACAGTTCAACCAGCAAAGACACAACCCATCCACCAAAGAGACAGCCTGTCCACCAAAGAGACAGCCCGTCCACAAAAGAGACAGCCCATCCACAAAAGAGAAAGCCCGTCCAGCAAAGAGAAAACTCAACCAGCAAAGAGACAGCCCATCCAGCAAAGAGAAAGCCAGTCCAGCAAAGAGACAGCCCATCCAGCAAAGAGACAGCTCAACCAGCAAAGAGACAGCTCCATCCAGCAAAGAAACATCCCATCCACCAAAGAGACAGCCCGTACAGCAAATAGACAGCCCGTACAGCAAAGAGACAGCCCGTCCAGCATGGAGACTGCCCATCCAGCAAAGAAACAGCCCGTCCAGCAAAGAGACAGTCTGTCCAGCAAAGAGACAGCTCAACCAGCAAAGACACAGCCGTCCAGCAAAGAGACAGCTCAACCAGCAAAGACACAGCTCAACTGGCAAAGAGTCAGCCCATCCAGCAAAGAGACAGCCCCATCCAGCAAAGAGACAGCCCATCTAGCAAGAAGACAGCTTGTCCAGCAAGGAGACAGCACAACCAGCAAAGACACAACTCATCCACCAAAGAGACAGCCTGTCCACCAAAGAGACAGCCCGTCCACAAAAGAGATAGCCTGTCCAGCAAAGAGACAACTCAACCAGCAAAGAGACAGCCCATCCAGCAAAGAGAAAGACAGTCCAGAAAAGAGACAGCCCATCCAGCAAAGAGACAGCTCAACCAGCAAAGAGACAGCTCCATCCAGCAAAGAGACAGCTCCATCCAGCAAAGAGACAGCTCAACCAGCAAAGAGACAGCCCCATCCAGCAAAGAGACAGGGCGTCCAGCAAAGAGACAGCTCAACCAGCAAAGAGACAGCCAATCCAGCAAAGAGACAGCTCAACTAGCAAAAAGACAACCCCATCTAGCAAAGAGACAGCCCCATCCAGCAAAGAGACAGCTCAACCAGCAAAGAGACAGTCTGTCCAGCAAAGAGACAGCTCAACCAGCAAAGACACAGCCCGTCCAGCAAAGAGACAGCTCAACCAGCAAAGACACAGCTCAACTGACAAAGAGTCAGCCCATCCAGCAAAGAGACAGCCTATCCAGCAAAGAGACAGCCCCATCCAGCAAAGAGACAGCTCAACCAGCAAAGAGACAGCCCATCCAGCAAGAAGACAGGCTGTCCAGCAAGGAGACAGCTCAACCAGCAAAGACACAACCCATCCACCAAAGAGACAGCCTGTCCACAAAAGAGACAACCTGTCCAGCAAAGAGACAACTCAACCACAAAAGAGACAGCACATCCAGCAAAGAGAAAGCCAGTCCAGCAGAGAGACAGCCCATCCAGCAAAGAGACAGCTCAACCAGCAAAGAGACAGCTCCATCCAGCAAAGAGACAGGGCATCCAGCAAAGAGACAGCTCAACCAGCAAAGAGACAGCCCATCCAGCAAAGACACAGCTCAACCAGCAAAGGGACAGCCCCATCTAGCAAAGAGACAGCCCATCCAGCAAAGAGACAGTTTAACCAGCAATGAGACAGCCCAATCCACCGCCGCTACAGACCTGTCACAGTGTGCCCGCCAGTGAAGGAGAGAGGCCCCCCATTGTCCCTTCAGTGTGGCTGTCTGTGCAGCGGCTGGCAGAGGAGGTGTCTGTGTGTCCTCGGCGGCGCTTCCTACTTGTCGTCTGGAGCTGTCTTGCCTATCCTCCTGTCGGCCCTGCTTTAGGCATAACCGCACAGCAGGAGGTGAGCAGTGGTCCCTGTTAGCTCTGTCCAGGCCGTGGTCTCCGCTTACCTCCCTCTCTGCAGCTGGTCATCAACAGGCCGCTCTTCTTAAGTCATTTTAACATATTCTTTTACATATATTTGTAAATGCATTCCAAAAATGTAGATTTGTATTTTTAAAGACATACAGTATATTTGAAATGTATTTTTAAAAAATGTTTCAGATATTTTGTAATAAAAACGCATTTCAACATGCAGCATATATATATATATATATATATATATATATATATATATATATTGAAATATATTTTGAAATATTTTGAATATGGCTAAAATTGTAGCATTTCAAATATATGTCAATATATTTGGGAAGAATATTTTTCAAATATATTTCAAATATATTTTTCTTCCATATGGGTATGGCCAGTCCTGTGACCCTGCATTCACTATATCCGGACTCCCACAGTACACAGAACATGGAAATGCAATTGTTTTAGCAAATATAAACTGCTAAATACCTTTTCTCATCAGCAGTATATAGCAGTTTTGTGACTTCTATCAGTGTCCAGCTGAGCACTGGTTATAGCTTGTAGGAGGAGTTTTCATTCTCCTCTGACTGTCCTATGAGGCTGCATAACCCCTGACCCTCTGTCTGGGCAGGGCTGATTGACCCTGTGCTGATCACATGCACCCTCCCAAAAGAAAAAAAAAACTCTCTAGCCATACACACTAGACTGAGCATGTGCAGAGTGACTCCTAGAGTTCTGTACTATCAGCAGATGGATTGGGGACAGTAGAAAAAGGGGAGGATCAGAGAAGACAGGATCAAACAGCCTTTTTACACAATGGTTTAACCCCTTAGGTTCCACAGTGAGCATAACAAGCATGTTTTACTGCACTGCACTGACTTTACTGATGTGGGTTTAGTAACACTTTAGGTGTTAGGGTTAGGAAAATAACAGACTTGAAAAAAAAAAAAGAAACAAAACGCTGGATGATTAAAGGATCACAGAAGAAGATCACAAACTCATGCAGAAGCATATAGGAAAACTTTATGGAGTAAAGTTCTGCTTTAATGAATGGAAATTAGGGATGCCCTGATACTGATACTGTGCCAATACAGAATATTTTCATATACTCATACTCAAGAAACTGTTACCGATACCGGAAATCGATACTTTGCAGTGCGATTTGCGTCAATACAAATTACAAAAGTTTAACGTGATTTCAACAGGAATGCGATTCCTGTCCAAATCATACGCGGTTTCCCCACTGCTCCTGTGTGAACCCAGGCTTGTCATAGGCTAAATTTACACAGGAGCGACGCGGGAAACTTTCCCTGCATGGATCCCAGGCTGAGCGGAGAGTAGTTGTATGGGGATGTATATTATGGTGGCAGATGCTCCATATTCTCAGTGGTAGGAGAGGAGAGAAAGCGGTGGGAATTTGAAATCCTCGCTGCTTTCTCTCCGCTCCTTGCAGTGATGACAGTTCGGGCTAGATAGCATCTGACTGGTCAGCACCGTCCATGTAACGGT